TATAGATTATTCTCCATATCTATCTTACTTCCAGCACCCAGGAACCTATCATCTTGAACAATTTCCTACATGACACTAGTAGAAACCTATAGGGTGTAGAAATCCTATCACTAGTTTTAAACTATCTAACCTATATGGTTCAGCTTTATCCAGAGGTGACTTGATTAAAGGGATTAGTTCAAGTGCCTCTTTACCTTATCACCAGACCTCAGATTACATTTTCACTGGCCTGAGGCATCTTTTGTAAAATTGTAATCTTTCTTATCACCTGTGGCTAATTATTTTTCAAACTAATTAGGCTCTGCACTGAATTAGAATATTCTGGCTAGGGTTCTAACCACTATTGAAAGAAGAGGATTGGGATTTGATTAGAATAGGAATACAGCCCAGTCTGTATATTCAAACGCAAGTGGAGTCTTGATTAAGGAAGTTAAACATATGCCTCTTGACTTACCATGTTGTTCAACTACCATTGGCATGCTTCTGGTGATCATCATAGTGCCACCCAGATGATTGTCGCACCACAACACCTTTTCTAGAGATCACAATTTAAATACCATTGGATTAGCATGTGAAACGGCTTCTTATGAGAAACAGCACATAATAGGTTATGGTGCCAGGTACCATGTAAGTTCTATTCAATTGCCTTTACCTGGGATTGAATTAGTATTTTGTGATCTGATCTGTGGAATGTTAACTACTACACTATAGATCCACAGATCTAAAAATTAAATTTTATTAATTTATAACAAAATAAATATATATGAAGCAACTATCCCAATAGAATGTATCATCTTGATTTGAATTTTTTCAATATCAAACTGAATATACACGAAAATTACTAAAAAACCTTTGCAGTCTTTCACTTTGTAATGAAATGTATCAAAGACTTATACAAATTCCAAAATTTCCAGGATTAAAAATTTTTTTGTATAGTATTCAATCTATTACAAAACTAATTGCAGATAAATATAAAAATCTAATGAAAGTTATAATTTTTGTAATGGATAATATATATGATAAAAGTATATAAAATACAGATATTAAAGAATTGTCAATAATTTATCAAGAATGGAATAAAATATATATAATTAGTAGATATGAGGAGTTTTCCAAAAGTGATTTAAAAAAATTTGAGATATAATTCATTCTTTTTAAAAAAAAAAAGATTTTAATATTAATTTTTTTTCTTTATAATTAAATAAATACAGTATATTACAAAACTTTTTAAAATTTTTAATTTATTTGTTATTCAAAAACTATTATATAAATATTAATAAAAAATATATTAAAATAAAGTTTAAAACCTATGAATTACAATAATATAAATTTTATATAAAAATATTTTTTAAATAATACTTATATTTGCAATCTGATTAAAGACAAAAAATAAATAAATAGATAAAAATATTTTTTAAATTTTGAAATTAAATTTAGAAATCAAATTTTTCAAGTATTCAAAATTAATTACAAATAAAAATTTCATTAAAATTATCATGATTTTATAAATAAATTTAGAAATTTGTTAATTTAATCTATAGATTTTTGTAAATTTTTAAAATTTAAAATTTTATAACTTGTAAATTTAAATAAAATAAATCTAAAAATTGGTTAATAATAACAATAATGTTATATTTTTTTTATTTTTTAATTTATTATTAATTAAAATTTTAAAAATTTTAAAAAAAATTCCAAAAAGTTTTGCAACATTGTATATCTATTACAATAAGTATTAAATCAATATGTATATAGTTAAGTTCATATATCTCATCTTAATATTTTTCTATAAATGCTTACCATCATTTTTAATATTAGTATTAAATTATTAACATATACAGTACATGTGTTTAGAATAACAAATATTCATTCACATTATTATGCGCAGTATAAAACAATCTTTAGAAGTTACAACCAGTGATCCCCAAATAAATATAATAAGTGTAAAAAAAAAAAAATGAAACAAAATCTATACACTGCCTCCGATTCAACATAGCCTAGACATTAGTCATTGTGACTGATGTACTTCGTATTTGCATGATAAAGTAATGATCGGACAAGTCTCAGGGAAATTTTACAAGATTTTATCACGGATCAGAAACATCTCTAGTAATTATTAACTATTATAAATACAGCAAATTATTTTTGAATCGTTATTTTGTTTAAATGGAACTGCATTTTTCAACCGATTTCCCACCTTATGGGGAGGTAGCTGTGTATATTGAAGCCCATCGGCTCGAAAATCTCGCATCTCTAAAACTAATTCCAAACAAAGAAAAAATTGACACTACACTAAAACTTACAAATATCAAACCCTCCATTAATATTACAGGATCCAACATATTTCGTTATTTAGCGCGTTCTTCTGAACATAATTCCCTATATGACGAAACCGATTTATCAGAACTTTTTAACATTTCATACCAAGACGATTTACTTAATATTTTTAGTGCTAGATCTATACCAGATCTGAAACCAGCTTTAATTCATGAGTCATTAGAGAAACACGGAAGAAGCTACTTGGTGTACCCGGACAGACCTGTACTAGCTGATTTTTCGGCTTGGGGTATATTAAAGGCAACGGGGGGAAACGAGGGATCAAATAATAACAAGGATTGGATGAACAAGATGAATGAATTAAAGGCTTCGCAGATAGCTATGGAAGTGGTGGATGCAACTATTAAAACCGATAATTCAAACTCTCCCACATCTTTACCCAAAATCAGTGGGGCTGACTATGAGAATAACAAATTAGACCCATTTCGAGGAATTGTGGCATCAATGATTGCTGAATATACTGGGAAATCGGCCGATGAAATTTTCGGTTTACTGGA